TTGAGCATGTCAAAAGGACATAGGTGCCAAACTTCAACAGCTCCCAATGGCCAAACTGGACAATCTGACCAAGAAAGTAAGTAACAGTAATATTGCATGATGACCCAAGGAATAAATGAAACATCCCTGAGTACATACTAATATAAGTAAATGATTGAATAAGTAAGTAAATGGGAGAGAAGGGACAGATCTTCTATGCAGAAGAATTTCAGTTAATAAATGTAGACTCTCCATTCCAGAAAGTGGAACTTAATCCTCTTCCCTTGAGTGCAGGCTGGATTTGTGAATCCCGTGAATCCTGTGAATAAAGCATGCAAAGGAGAAGATAGTAAAACCCAGCAAGACCCTGTGGGCCTCCTGAGCACAAAAGCCTTTCTGTGTCCCCTATTTCTTGATTACAGGAAATAGGCTTCATTTGGCCTCCATGACCTTCCCTGAGTTCCAATGGACAGATTCAAACAGTTGCTAATCAGGGAAGGGAGAGGATACAGAGACCAGGGAGGAGTGGCTGAGAAACAATAGTGCAGCCTTGGGGCAGGGTGCGGGTCCCCCTTCAAGGGATACACATAACAATATCTTTGAGCTATTTTGCAGATACTGAAACCCCCACCAGGTGGGAGAAGTTAACTGTATGCTGCCCACAAGCACGTAGACCCCAGACCAGCTGGAAACAGAAGGTTGATGATGCTGACTCCCGATTACCTCACCACCAGCCAATCAGAAGAATGTCCGTGAGCTGATCACACTTTCTTTGAACCGTTACTATAAAACTCTTCACTAGTCCCTCCAGGTTGGGACACAGAGTTTGGAGGGCATTAGCCCACTGTGGCCCCCTTTGCCTGGCAAAGCAATAAAGCTATTCTTTTCACCCTCACCCAGAACTCTGTCTCTAAGATTTAATTCAGTGTTGGGGTACAGAGGCCAGTTTCGGCATCAATAGTAACACAGCAGAGAGAAAACCTAGCACACACTACCTTAACCATGTGATCAAGGTTAATATCACCAGTGACAGGTGGTGTTGACGTCACACCCTCCCTAATACAAAGGGTACTTTACTTCTCTGTTTTTTTCCCCAAAACTCAGTTCCCCTGTCTCATGATGAATTAATGCATCAGACAAACCCATATTGTGGGACATTCTACAAAACACCTGACTAGTCCTCTTCAAAACTGTCAGTTATGAAAATCAAGGAAATGTTGAGAAACTCATGAATTGAGGAGACTTAAGGAGACAGGACAACTAAATGCAACAGGGAATCCTGAATTGGATCTTGGACTAGAAAAAGAGTAAATAGTGTAAAAACTGGTAAAATTGGAAAAAAGTTTGTAGCTGAGTTAATAGTGTTGTACCAATTTACTTTCTTTTTTTGATAAATGTATAGTGGTTATGTAAGATGTTAACACTAGAAGAAGGTGGGTGAGGATATACTTGGATTTTCTGTATTATTTCCTCAAATTTTCTGTACCTAAAATTACTCTAAAAGTTTTTTAATTAATTTTTTTTTAAAAACTTCAAGTCTATCCTAGTATTTTATAGAAGTGGTGTTCTAAGTTTTCCTGCTTATTTCAAAAATGGCCTGTTAATAATCATTATCTTGTGGTTTAATAGTTAGCAGCAACAGAATCAGACTGCCTGGGTTTGAATCCCCCTTATTATTTTTGACCTCAGACAAGTCGTTTAACTTCTCAGTGCCTCAGTTTCTTCATCTGTAAAATGGGAATAATAATGTATCATAGGGATGATGTCAGGATTGAGTAAGAAAATACACAAAAACTATTTTTGTATTTGATAAATGTTAAGTAACAGTGGTAGTAGAGATCTTCTAAAATGTCCCAGAAATAACCTGAAAAACTCAGTTTCCCTCCTTCCCAAATTCTTTTTGTCATGAGTCAGAAAATGGGCCAAAAGGTCAAAAATGGATAAAAAATTGGTGAAATGAACTATGATTATTTTTCCCAGTGAACATTCCAGAAGGAGAGTTAATTTAAATAAAGCAAACATTCATTTCACTCTTTTCTCTACTTCATAGTTTAAGCTCATTTTTCTCTTGAATGTTATCAAAAAGTTTCCTAAGTTGTCCATTTCTTCCATTTTTTTTTCTATATTTTTTTCTGTGCCAGAAGGGCCTAAATACCAGAAAGTCACCTGTAAGATGCCTTGCCCAACTGGAGGCAAGAAATAGGACTTATTATGAGTAAGCAATTATATTTTTCTAATATCCCTAGTATTGCAAAACTCTGGAGTGTTCCTGCAAGTCCAAGTACATTACCCTTGGATGCTTTACCTTTGGGCCCCATTAGTCATGATCATTACTAAGCAGAGTTGAGATTTCATTTTTTAAAAAACCACATTTGCTGGCATCTGATTGAAAGAAACACTTCTGGAAAAAATCCTGACTCATGTATCTCATTGGCAACAAAAGAAGAGAGGTTTTAGAGAATTTCCTTAATACAGGACAGTGGTTCTCCAATTTAGCCTCCATCAGCATCACCTGGAGGGCTGCAAAAGCACAGACTGCCAGGCCCACCTCACAGTTAAACTTCAGGAGGTCTTGGGCAGGAACTGAGAATTGCATTTCTTCTTTTCTTTCCTTCTTTCCTTCCTTCCTTTCTTTCTTTTTAAAATTTTTATTGGAGAATAGTTGATTTACAATGTTGTGTTAGTTTCAGGTGTACAGCAAGGTGATTCAGTTATACATATACATATATCCATTCTTTTTCAGATTCTTTTCCCTTATAGGTTATTACAGGATACTGAGTAGAGTTCCCTGTGCTCTACAGTAGGTCCTTGTTGGTTATCTATTTTATATATAGTAGTGTGTATATATCAATCCCAATCTCTTAATTTATCACTTCCCCCTATGTTTCCCTTTGGTAACCATAAGTTTGTTTTCTATGTGTGAGAGTCTATTTCTGTTTTGTAAATAAGTCAATTTTTATCATTTTTTTGATTCCACATGTGACATCATATGATATTTGTCTTTCTCTGACTTACTTCACTTAGTATGATCACCTCTATGTCCATCCATGTTGCTACAAATGGCGTTATTTTGTTCTTTTTTTAAAAAATTAATTAATTTATTTACTTTTGGGTCTTCGTTGCTGCGCACAGGCTTTCTCTAGTTGCAGTGAGCAGGGACTACTCTTCATTGCGGTGTGCAGCCTTCTTATTGCGATGGCGTCTCTTGTTGCAGAGTATGGGCTGTAGGCGCATGGGCTTCAGTAGTTGTGGCTCACAGGCTTAGTTGCTCCACAGCATGTGGGATCTTCCCAGACCAGGGATCGAACCCATGTCCCCTGCATTGGCAGGCGGATTCTTAACCACTGCACCACCAGGGAAGCCCTGTTTTGTTCTTTTTTTAAGGTTGAGTAATATTACATTGTATATATATGTACCACATCTTCTTTATCCAGTTATCTGTCAATGGATATTAGGTAGCTTCCATGTCTTGACTATTGTGAATAGTGCTGCTATGAACATTGGGGTGTGAGAATTACGTTTCTAATAAACTCCCAGGTGATGCTGATGCTTCTGGTCTGACCAGACTTTGGGAACCACTGGGTTAAAAGAACTAATGTGTTTTAGGACTTATTTTGTCTAATGTGGGAATGCAACTAAAACCAAGGGATGAAAAAGGGATGAATTCAGCCCCAAGGATGAGCCCCAAGGGTGGAATAACCCACCATTGTTTTCTGCAGTGCTCTGAACAGTGATGCAGTCTTTTATTTTACTTCAAGGATTCCTCTGCAAAAGATGTCATTTGGCTGCTTATTGTGTGGGGTAGACTAGGTTTCTCAAACTTTTTCTCTGTGAACAGAAATGCCCAGGGTTGTGTCTCTAGTTCAGCGGTTTTCAAATTTCATTGTGTATGAGAATCACTCAGTGAGTTTATGTACAAAGCACATTACTGAGTCCCACCTGAGAAACTTTGATTTATTACATAATAATAATAGCAAGTATTTATTATACATTTACTATGGGCCAGGCACTATTATAAGCACTTTACTTATACGAACTCAGTTAATCTTCACAACAAACATATGAGGTAGCTACTATCGTTATTCCACTTCTACAGATGAGGAAACTGATAGTCAGAGTGGTTAATAACTATTTAGCTAGTTAGTGGTGGAGCCTGGCTGTGCACCCAGGCCTTTGACTCCAGAGTTTCTTACCCACCATGACTCTATTGATGCTCATCTGGGGTAAGACTCCTAATCTGAGTTCCCCAAAAATAGACGCTGAAATAAACATATAGATGTAAGTGGTTTATTAGGGTGATGGAGAAGCACAAACAAGAGAGCAAGAAAGTGAGGCAGAGAAGTGTGTCTTCACGAGCAGGTCACTGCCACAGACAATCCGGGCTCAGTTCTACTGGGACCCTCCAAGGAACCTTGAAGAACATGGCTTAGAATTGCCCTACCAAAGACTGGTGAAACTGGGGTATTTACTCCGAACCCTCTGCTTTATTGGTTAAGAGTGGTCTTGCTAGGCATATATTTGCTAGTGCTTAGATGTTCCTTTGAAGCCAGGAAAGCCCTGAGGCAGAAGAGTGGAGAGATTAATACAAGGAACCCTCAATCATAGCTGCAGGCAAACTCTGAGGTGGGTCATAGGGATTTGGGACAGAGCTAGGATAGGAATTGATATTTTACTACGCCATTGCAGGTGGTCTGGAGAATACACTTTGAGAAACACTTTTTTTTTTTAAATTTGAGGACAACCTTGTGCTGCCCCGAGGTGGTGGCTCAGGCCATGACAACAGGGTCCTAAATGATATGAAACTGGACAATTGCCCTCTTCTTTTTTCATGCTCAGACCCTGAAACTGTACCCTGAGAAGTAAGTCAAACCAGATCAGTAATTCATTATGATCCCGCAGTTGAGTCCGGCCCTCTGTCCTAGAGTTGTTACTGACCAGGGTTCTTGGTCTCCTTAATCAATAGAAATTGATCAGAGGCCAGATAAGAAATTCAGGCAAGGCTTTATTGGAGCCCCTGCTGCAACAGGGGGAAGTGAGAACAAGTTCGGGTTCCCTTGCTCACACCCCAAGGGGAGCAAGCAGGTTCCTTACATGGGATGAGGTTAGGGGTGTGTCCAGGGGCTGGGCCAAAGGAGTGGCTTAGGTGGTTTGCCACCCTTTAGGTGGTGTTGTGTGCAGGGGGCATGCGCAGTACCCTGCTGCTGCTCCCGCCACCCTGCTCCCGGCTCTTCAGAATGGCAGTTGGGCTTTTTGGTCTTTTTGTATGTTGTTGTCCATAATTTGCCCCAACTGTGAAGGCATGCAGTTATTTTTAGTCCCTTATAGTTTCTTTGTATTTTGTTGCTCAAGGAGACATTTGTCCAGGCACAAGCTCTGCAGCAAAGGGTCCCAGGTCCCAGGTCTCAGAGTGACACATCATGTAACGAGTGAAGGACAGCTGGGTCTAACTGACCACAGGAAAGTTAAAGTTCTCTGGATAGACGAGGAAAGGGGAGAGTTTCTGTGTCCATATTCCCTTTTTGTCTAAACTTTGAACTTCAAATCAGTTAAAAAAAATTTGTCACTGACTCTCTTATACCCCCTTTAATAAAATTAAACAGAACCCAGGACCCAAATCATGGGGAGGATAGGGAATGAAGCTTCAGAGACATCTACAAGTAATGTACTTAACTCTGTCACCCACGGTACTGACTGAGTCCTGGAGAAACTACACAACATTAAAGAGTGGTGAGAAAGAACAAAGGACAGAAGTGTCAGCACTGAAAAGGGGACCTAGCAAAGCTTCCAATTCAGGGACTACAAACTCAGAGGCCATCATGGACCAGGTGGGCATGATGGCTGGTTACACAATAGAGTGTGGTGGGGCCTGTGGCAAACTGGGAAATGCACACTGTTTCTAATTTTCAAAAATACTGGGATGGCCAAAATCAAAAGCAAAGCAAAACAAAACAAAATACATTGGGGCTTATGTTTGTCTGCAGAATACTAATACGTGGATATTCAAACTAATCTGTTCCCCTTTAGCTGAGAGAAGAGTTTCCTGAGGTCACTCAGGGACTTATATTCAGCTGGTACATGCTGATAAGGCCATACTTGTTCTGACTGGTCAGGGCCTAGCTACACAAATCCTTAAATATTTGACTATAACCTCTGAGTTCACACAACCAGCAGACCAAAGAACTGAAAACACCCCCATACCCTCTTCTGTACTCTGCCCTTAAAAACTTACATTTTGCATGCAAAATATGGAAAAATAAATGCATGTGAAATTTTAAAAAAACAATAAGAAAGGCATAGATAAATGCATTTATCTGTGTAAAATAGGATAATTTTCCAGATGAAAGGGATTTTAACTTGTATTAAAAATTCATTGGAGGGGCAAATCCATCAGCAGGATACCATGAATGATCTAAACACTTGTTCATCTTCCTTTTGTTGACAATTACATTCTCAATAGAGTACCGGTATGTGTGTCCTCTTCATGGATACATCAAAACACATTGAAAAAAACCCTAATTTTTTTTAATGTATGTTTTTAAATACAAAGTATTGCTGTGTTCTTCTCAAAGAGCTTCAGTAAAAATCCCCAAGATCTGGCAACAGTTAACAGTTAAACAAACCAATATGTTGTATGACCAGGATGTCAGATGGAGGAGGTGAGGATGCTTTCTGTTTCATTCACCTCCGTATCCCCAGAATCTAGAATTGTGCCTGTCACAGACACTCAGCATGTCATCGTGGCTCTCATCTGCCAATTGGTGGTGGATGTCAGCTCCCTGGAGGATTAAATTCTGAAATATTTCAAAACCAACTTCTGTTATGCAGAGATCCTGTACCTCCAATTGCTGAGTTGTGAAAGAAGTAGAGAGGGAATGAGAAAGTACAAGGGACCATCTGGAAAGGTCTTAGTAAATAGCAGAGGTCAATGGCAGAGTTGGAAGGGATAGGGGCTAGGGGTTGAGATGAGGGAGAATGAAAGAGGTGGGCAGTGATTCAGGGTGGAAAGGCGAGAGAGTAGGGGGCAAGGGGATTTCTTCACGTGAGCAGGCAGCACAAGGCGTGTGTGTGGGAGGGTGGATAAGACTGAGGGTTGAGGAGAGGAGTCATTGGCAGGGTCTAGAAAGCCCTGGAGCTCCAGGTACCCCTGCACTTTGTTAATCTATGTTGCTCTGTATATGGAGGATGCAGAGCATTGCCTGGATAATGCATAATTAAACTTAAAAACACCTGATAAGGAGATACTGCACTACACCCAGGAACAGCCAGAGAGAAAGACAACTGGATGGAGGGCTGGCCTTCTGGACCAAGAGGCCACTGCCCTGGGCATGAGCGGCGCCCACCCTGACCTTCAGCACCACGTGAGCGGAGCTCTTCCAATCTCCCTACAAAGATGCCCTGGGGGAGGTCTGTTCCCCGGAACACAGGATCCTGAATGACTGTGTACGTTGTCGTTCTTTTCAGTAAATATGCTCCTGGAGCCCACAGAAGTTAGATTGGGCGTTACCTTTAAAGAAAAAAAAAAAACTATACCATAAAATACTCTGTGAAATTTTGTATCAGATTAATTAGGCAAAGGAAATCAGGATCTTATGGAAGGCTGAAGAAACTTTTGATTCCATTAGAGCTACTGGGAGATTTGCTGAGCCAAGTCAGAGAAGGTTGATGTCTAACCAGGGCTTAATTTATGATCTGAGTGTACAAACCTCCTTCAAGACCATACGGCTGACTAATGAATTTATTAGGGAGATTAATGCTTACTATCTGCCATTTCAAGCTGTGCTGGTGTGTGCTCACTTGATCGTCATACTTGGAACATGCTGAAACCTCCCAAGGTTCATCTGAGTGCTGGGCATGCTCCCCAAGCCCAAGTTGAAAGGAGTCACCCCCATTCCTGGGTTGGCTTCTGTGCCATGTGGTCTGTCTCCAGGGCTACTTCAACCCAGGAGACTGGCACACACTCCCTGCCCCAGCAGCCTTGCTCAGGCCTCGCCTTGAGTACAAAACAAGGTACCTGCTGCAAGACGTCACCCCCACCCTCTCCTGGCCAAGTGACCACCTCCCTAATGGACGATCAACAGATCTCTTTCCCATCACCACTCCCTCTCAGCCCCCTCACCCCCACCTCATACACACGAGCAAGCAAACCATGCTGTACATCCCAACAGAAACAGACCTCACTAAGGCAGAAACTGGTGAGACCGGGCCAGTTACCTAATTCATCCACACCAAGTGCCAGAGTCTTATCTGCAATTGTCCAGCTCTCTTTTCCTTCAACTCAAAGTCACATGAAAACAGCCAGGGGCTTTGTAAAGAAAGACTGAATCTGTGTGATGGGGTAATAACTGTGTGCATTTAGTCCTCACATTTTACCTGGACTGTGCAACTCTTATGGCCCAGTTACTCAGTTCAAGGGGAATCAAGCTCACCCTTATTATTAAGGAGCACAGCATCTCTGCCAGGGACCAGCTCACCTTTTCTTGCATTGACTAAGAACATCAGTGGTGTCCTTAAAGCAAAAGGAGAGAGAGAGCTGAGAAGTGCCAGCTTGGTCTCACCCACGGTCGCCTTGACTGTGGATGTGCTCTGAAACCTGACCCCACAAAGGCTGGGGACACTTACCCACTATCTCAGTGAGACCCTTACTGGTGAGATGATGCCTGGGCTGGCAGGGTCGCAACTGTGGATTGATCCGAGGTTACAACTCTTTTATCGGGGTCCGGGGGCGGGGGCTAGTTTTTTATTTTCTTTCTTTTTTAGTTATTTAATTAATTAATTTAAAAATTTTAATTTTATATTGGAATATAGTTGATCAACAGTACTGTGTTAGTTTCAGGTGTACATTAGAGTGATTTAGTTATACATATACCTGTATCTATTCTTTTTCATAAACTCTTTTAATTAACCCTTGTGTGCATCCCACACTTCCTACAGTGTGCCTCTGCACCTGGGGGTCAGCCTTAGCTGTGTTCCTGGCCACGGCAGCCCTCTCCCATGCCCTCCCCACTTCTCCCCACTGTGAACATGGGTCCCCAGGCCCGACACTCCCTCCCCGCTCAGGGGCTTCCTCTTTGAGGCTGGTTCTTGTTAGCAGCTGTCAGTAGACCTATCTCAACCTAAGAGAGATGCTTAAAGTGTGGAACCCCGAAAGACTGTCAAGGCTGTCACAGCAGGCTCCTTTGTCCCTGTGAAACTTTCCTGTTTCTCCCTCTGAAAACAGCTCTGTAAGGCGGGAGGGTTCAAAGCAGCAGACACCTCCCACCTTCCTTCACGCTTATAAGGCCTGAAGAAAGGTTCTTCCCTGAACCTAAGAAATGATTTCCACCGCCCTGCCTGCCCCACTCCCTCCCCAAGTAACATGTATAGAATATAGTCTCTGCTCCACTGGGCACTCCATCATGGACAATCTTTAGCAACTTCTGATTCCTTCTGCTCAAGAACTATTGTTGGAGGGTGGGAGTAGACAAGGGGTCTCAGCCAAGGGTATCATCTCTGATCTGCTATGGTCTGGATTTTTCCTTTTTGAGGTTCTACTGATTGTCTTCTGTCTGTCTCCCCTGCAATATCCCAAATCTCAGGGCTGCTTATGCACTTAAAGTTCACATTTTATTCTTCTCTTTGTCACTTTCTTTCTTCACAGATGGGAATCTACAGATGTGCTCTAAAAATCTGAGCTGCTATTAAACATATTACAGGTAGATTTGTCCCCTGTTTGCAAGATGCTGCAGCTCTGGTCTCTACCCTGAGTGGGCAAGGGTCAGTGTTATGGACTGAAGGTCTGAGTTCCCCCCATATTCATATGTTAAAACCCTCTCCCCAATATGATGGTTTGAGGAGGTGGAGCCTTTGGGAAATAATTAGGACTAGCTGAGGTCACGAGGGTGGAGCCCTCATGAATGGGATTAGTGTCCTTATAGGAGTCCTGAGGAATTTTCTTCTCTCTGCTCTCCACCAACTGAAGATACAATACAATGAGAAGTTGGCTGTCTGCAACACTCAGAGCACTCTCACCAGAACCAGACCATGCTGGCACCCTGATCTCAGACTTCCAGCATCCAGAAACATGAGAAATAAATAAACAAAGCCTGTGGTACTTTGTTATACCAGTGCAAACAGACTGAAAATTCAGCAATCTCTTTCAGTCACTGTGCTATGGGTGTGGGGGAGGGTGGGAGATATCTTTATTCTGACATGAAGACATGAAGAGTTATTCCCTGACTGAAGTCTGAGCCAAGAGCAGGTTTTCCCCCAGAAAGGCAGACACAGTGATACCATGACACTTCCTACATAGCACCACCGAACACAGCTGGTACCTACAGCTCAAGGTGCATTTCTGTTGACACCTCATGTACTATGTCATGGTGGTTTTGCAAACTTATTTTAGTTTCTGTCACTGGCAATTTAATCTCTATGTCCAAATCTGGGAGAGGAAGAAGGTCGCTCATTCAATTGACCGCAGAGCTCAGGCAGTAACCAGGGTCTTCGGTTATCTTTCAACACATGCATATAGTTTGCATATTGAAGATGCAAGAATATTTCCCAAGTCCAGAAATAAGTTTGTGCACTCCCATTTTCCTTGAAATATAATTCTCAGTTTATCTTTTACTATCTCACTCTTAATAAAGGCAAGGGCTCAGATAAATATTTCTCTGCTTCAAGAAGAATAACATAGCAAGTACAAATATCAGTAAATGAAAACTGGCACTGAATAGGAAAAACTCACTTCCATATGTTTCTCCATTCCTCTCACACTACTGCCACACTCACAATACTCCTGACACCAGAGGTGTGAGTCTTCCCCTGACACCAAGCCACGAGCTGGGTGTCCTATAAGCCAGTTTAATTCTGACACTAAGCAGAGTTATCACAGACCCCACGGGTTAAGGTCTCCATCTCATGAGACTGCCCCCCATTTCAGATGCTAATCTCAAGTAGAAGGTCCCTGGGTTACCCACAAGTTCTACCCAACTTGGCTAGAAATCAGGTTCACATGACCTCCCCTTGGATTTGACTGTTTGTTAGAAGAGCTCACAGAACTTGGGGAAGCACTTTTTTACATTTACCAGTTAACTATTTAACAAGGAATGTGATAAAGGATACAGATGAACAGCCAGATGAAGAGAAACTTAGGGCAAGGTCTAGAAGGGTCCCAAGCACAGGAACTTCTGTCTCCATGGAGATGGGGTCCACCACCTTCCCAGCATGTGGTTATGTTCACCAACCAGAAGCTCCCCAAACACCATATTTTTAGGATTTGTTATGGAGGCTTCATCACACATATATAATCCATCATTAACTCCATTTCCAGCCCCTCTTCCCTCTCTGGAGAATGGAGGGTAGGGCTGAAAGTTCCAAGCTTCTCATCATGGCTTGGTATTTCTGGTGACCCACTCCTATCCAGGAGCCCACCCAGAGTCATCCCATTAGAACTAAAGACACTTCTGTCACCCAGGAAATTCCAAGGGATTTAGGAGCCCTGTGTCAGATACCAGGGTCAAAGACCAAATGTTAGAACCAAAAAATACTCCTAGTGCTTTTATCACTTAGGAAAATGCAAGAGTTTTAGGAGTTCTGTGCCAGGAACTGGGGGCAGAGAACAATCTATACTCTTTTTTCTACTATCTCACAAGCACTTAACCTTGTAGTCAGGAACATGGTAGGGAATGATTGGAACTATGGCACCCTGTGTGTGTGTGTGTGGGGGGGGTGGTTGCTAGCCAGTTCCAGCTGATCTTCGTCATACAAGGAATGTGAAATGTCCCTATTCTTAAATTTTGGCTCAAATTTTGTAGAAATACTGTGTAGTCCAAACTAAACATGACTGCAGGCCAGATCTAGTCTTTGGGCTACCAGTTTGGAGCCTGTGATGGGGAATGATAACATCTGGGAAGAAGAGAGGTGCCAGTGTTATAAAGAGAGCAGCAGGCCACCAGGTTCATTCTGCAATTGTTACAGCAGAGACTAGCTGGAGCCTCTCAGAATCTCAAGCACTGAAATTCACCTGAATTACTGTTTTTCCTTGAGGAATGAATCACACATATTATGAAGAACAACATGTGTGGCTTTCATCACTCTCTAGCTTTAGCAGACAGAAAAGAATTGTATTCTCTCCATTAGTCCACGGAAAAAAAGATTCAGAGAACATTGTTTTTCTTGGTTTGAATTAGAAATTCTGATTTGGAAGCAGCTAGATGACGAGCAGATGTTGAGGGGGTCACTGGTGCTTTTTTCACCTGCGTGTGGGAGAGGGCAAGCGCACTACAGTGATTGTATGGTGAAGGAACATGGTGGGGTGGAAATGGAAAAAGGTGTTCAATTATATGGATGTTTGCAAATATCCATGAGACCAGTATTGGTTTTGGGAAGACAGCAGTGAGTGGTCTTGAAGCAGAATCTTATTTCCCTGCCCAGGAATTGGAGCTGCATAGCCTGGATGAAAACCAGGAATCCTAGCTACTAGTCTACCAGGGGCTAGAGGCTAGAAGCAAAGTTGCCCTGCCTCTTGCCCCTGTTGTAACAAGAATGTTTCAAGGAGGCAAAAACAAGTACAAAGTTTATTATTAGAGACTCAGCACAAGGTATGGGAGAGCACACAGAGAAACAGTGATTTATTTAAGGCAGAAGCAAGGCAGAAATACACACCCAGAGAGGAGTGCGGGCATCCTGAATGAGGAGAGGTGATTTAAAATCACTTACATGGGGCAGTTCTTCTGTGTCTTTGTTCTTCTCCTCTGGCCAATTATCTCTCTTCTTTCCCACATCTGGCCTGTCTTAGGGCCCTCCTGATATGCATGTGCATTTTTTGCCAAGATGGATCCCAGCTCAAAGGCTAATGGGAGGTTGACAACACATATTATGGGATGACGCTCCCTCCCTTTTGATCCCCGAGAAGCCTTCCTGCCCATGTGTAGTTGGGGAGGTTTCCTTGACCTCAGGAGGGATAGATGTTGTTGTTTTATCTCTTTAGCAGAGCTCAGCTCACTAACTTTGTACTTGGAGTGCCCAGGGAAAACAAAGCTCCAATTTACTCTGCTTGACGAACCCCAGCTGCTCAGCCCAGCAGCCCGTCTACCTCCTACCTCAATATCAAGTAGCCAAAACATCTGGATGAGTCACTGAAACTGTCAGCCATTGGACACATGCCTGACATATGAACACTGCAAGGGTGCTATTTCCACTTTCTGATGGAAAGGCACCAGCTTTTCTCTTTCTTGATTCTTTCACTTAACAAAGGAACCCAGAGTCACTCAACTTAGTATTCCTGGACTATAAATGAGGCTGTTCTATTCCTTTCATAGCTCTGGGTACACCATTTTCTTACTGGTCCCCTAAACTAAGTACCATCCTAGGGGCTGTATCAGAACAAATGTGCAACTCCCATGCTATCTATAACTGAATAGGTTACACACTGAGAAAGCTGGCACCTTGTTTGCAATGGCCCTAATAATTAGCAATGTCCAAGATTACATAAAAATGCATAGAAAGAAAACCCTGATTAAATAATGAAGTGGGACGTGAACACAAGTAAGTACAACCTGTGTGATTTATTGGGCAGAAAAAGGCAATCTGATTGTCCTCAACTGCATAAAAAACGATGCTAATGGTTTTATCAAGCTTGGCAAACAAAACAAAACTTGATCTGTCAGTGGATCTATCACTTTAATTAATAGACATGATAATTCTTAATTAGACTATCAATTATCTGTAAGTAAATGAGTATTGGAACATTACTTGTCTTCTTTAATTTCCCAGATCTGTATTCTTGGAGTCATATTTGAGCCATCTCCATCTCTAAAAATATCAAGATACCAAGGCCTGCTAATTGTCACCTTCATATGCTTTTCAAATCTACCCTTCCCTCCTCAGTCTCTCAGCATTAGCCCGGGGCTTCCGAAATTTCAACTATATTGACTAATCTCTGGGATTATTTCATTAAAATATATATTGTGATGCAGATCCTGTTGGTCCAGGGACTGTGCTTTGAGTAGCAAGGCCTTAGCCTCTGCTTTCCTCCCCACCCTACCCTCAATTCTAACCTCATATTGGCTCTGCAGGTCAGTCTCTCCCTTCCAGCCCTTCCAACAACCCCTGGCAGATAAATGTTTCTTAAGTACTGCCCTGGTCATTTCAGTAAGGGACCAGTCAACTTCCCTTAGAGGGAAAGAGACTCAGGGCCCTCCAACAGTTGAGCCTTGAGTAGTGACTCTTCTGGAAGAAGCCTGGAAGTAAACCTGGCAGTTCTCTCCTAAACCCCATTCTTTGTACAGTCTTTCTGGTTGTGAACTCTGCTGTCAGTATCACCCCAGTCCCAAAGGATCCTCTGCTGTCACTTTAAAACCCTCACCTAGGAATGGCCCAAAGTCCTTTTTCTTAGTCATACTCAGCACAGAATGGAAGTAGTGGTAACGATTCTAAAGAACACTGTGGTCATCAGATTCAAGTATCTGATCTTAAGGCATA